CCCGCTCGTGTAGATGGCGCCGACAACGGCGGAACGGGCGGTCAGGGCGGGCGGCTCCATTGTGCGCGACTCGATCGGATCGGCCACCCAGGTCGGCGGGCCGCCTCCCGCCGCGGTTCGCCCGGCGACTGCGGGTCTCAGGCGGTCACAGTGAGCCGCCGTTGAAGCTGCGACGCGACGGACTTCAAGGCGCTCGTCTAACCCGGCCGCGAGGGATCGCCGGCGACTCTGGCAACGATCCTACGCCGCACCGCCTTCGGCGACTCCCGCATCACAGCGCGCCTCCACTAAGTGCGGATCACGGTCGGGTCAGGGGCGCCGACGCGACCCCTCGCCCCGGCGGCGTGCCGCGGCCGGGCTGACGGCCCGTCAGCCGGGCCGTGCCCGTCACCAGCGCAGATGGATTCACGCCGGCGGCGCCGCTCGGCGGGCGACGGGCCGCTAATTATGACGTCCACCCGCGAGCCAGGCGCTCGCCGGCCGCCCGCCGCAGGCGCCCGCCGCGGGCGCCCGCCGCGGGCGAGGTCGGAAGCTCCGCCTGAGAGGAGCCTCGCGTCGCCGGACGACCGGCCACAGGTGACAAAAATGCCGGCCACCACCGAACGCGTGTCACCGCTGCGCCGCCCGGCGCGGGCCGAGCGCGACCCGCACCAAAACGATCGTTTGTCTTCGGGACGACTCATTGATTTCTCGCCTTACCGTCGGTGATTAATGGTAGGGTTTTGCTGCCATTAAGGCCGAAACACTTACGCCGGCTATGCGGGAACAATGCGCCCAAAGCGCCGCGGCGATGACATTGAGCCGTGACGTCACACCCTCGGGCCGCAAGCCATTCGTCGCCAAGCTATTCGGAGGCAAATCAGGCGACGCATGCGGCCCCAATCGTCGCCTAATTGCCGTTTGTTTTTCCACAACAGCCTTCGTAGCAGGGCAGGAAGTCGATTAGGGCGAATTTTTACCGCGCAGCCTTGACGTGGACCGCAGCGCGACATTACGCTTGCGCCACCTGAGACTCCAAGCTGTTTGGACGGCTGCGGGTCGCGGTGCTGTGCGTGAGACGATGTCCCTCGAGTGGGCGGCAGTGTCGCTGGTGCGGCCCAGCCGCCGGCCGGCCGGGGACTGCGCGGCCACGCCCGCTATCACCGGAGACCTAACAGTCGCACACGAACTGAACCACCGCCGGCGCGTGGGCCATCGACCACGGCCACTGCCGGGGGCGGGGGGAGGAGGGGACACTCGGAGGGCCGGGATCGAGACGTAGACGAGCGCGCGCGCGCTGCTCGCGATTTCTCTCATTAACATCGTCGGAGACGGGCGCGTGTCCTCCATTATCGCCGACGACGGGGGGGCGGCCGGATTCGATCCCCGTCGTCGGCGCGCGCCGGCGGCGGCGGCGCCCATCCGTCATCCGATGACGGTCGGCGGTCACGGACGCGCGTCCGGCCCGGGCGGCGCGCTGCGGCCAGCGGGCGTAGTACGGCGGCGCCGACCGAGCGCGGCGCGCTGGGCCGGGCTCGGGGCTCAGGCCTGCGGGTCGGCCCCGCACCGGAGCTGCGTGACACGGGGGGATGGAAAACACGGCGACGTTGCGCTGCATCAAAAGTGCATCCGGGTGTCACGGAAACCACGGCAGAAGCAGTCATGCGTTGATTTCGCTGTTCATTTTTTTTTTTTTAGTAAGGTAGCTCACACCGGTGATGTCTCGACGACGTTGTGCGGCGTTGCGAACGGCGAAGCGGCATTCGTTTTCCTTGCACAGCGTCCTCCCAGCTGTGGGAACATTTCAAACTTGCTATCGGTTAGATGGCATGCGCCATTAGCGGTCAGAACTCCGATCTCGACTGGTATCTCAGCACGCTTCGAGGAAAAACGACTCGAGATCGCCGCCAAGCCATCCTATCCGCCGCTGGTATGTCTGTCGGCTGGGCTTGATATGCGGGCTGATCTGGTATGAAATGCCTCGATCACGGGTAATTGGATCAGCTGACAGAGATGTCGAGCGCTGCCGGCAGCTGTCTGTGTCCGGCGGATTGGACACTGCTTCAGACAAACGCAGTCTCGGCGCGTGTCGTTGGGTCAGGCGGGACCCAGACCCCGTTACCGGATTCTGTCGGTTCGTATCCAACAGGGTCAAAAAGGGACCCAGAGGGCCCGAGGCCGTCGTCTGCGTTTAGTGGGTTGAACAGCGACCCAAGCGAGGGTGTCGGGTACTGCATAGATATTACGTACCGGACGGGAGCTGAGGCAACTCTTGTTACTAGAGTTTGTGTCTGGCGGGGTGGCCAGAGGGCCCAGTCGGTGTTTCCGTTGCCGCATTCAGTGGAGCGGACAGTGACCCAGTCGGTGTGTCCATCTGCTGTGTCTGGCTGGCGAGACGAACGCTGGACTCCGCGCAGTTGCGCAGTTCGGAGCTGGCCAAAGAGTGAGAAGCACGCTCTGGCGAAGAAAGACATACGTGGCCGGGCAGGGCGCAGGTACCCTCGTACGGGCGCGTTCGCCCGAAACCGACTAACCGTTCGCAGAACCCGCCACCTTTCGTGAGCACAGGAGAGACCACGACCGCCAGGTACCCGGCCTCTCCCTTCACTTGTCGTACATCTTATTAACGGCCATCACATCCTACGGCCTACACACCCGCTCTGCCGGCGGGGTCTGGCGCGGGCGAGGGGAGGGCGAGGGGGGGGGGGGGGGTCGCGTGCCGGCGTGCCGTGACCGCCGTCTGGGGGATGGCTCGGCCGTGGGGCGGCCGCTGACCCAGCCGCCGGCTGGCTGCCGGCCAGGCACAAATGCGCGTCGTGCCCGGCGCGTCACGGCCCGCCGAGTTGGCATGCAAGGTCGGCGTGCGGCCTCGTGACGCTCCTGGTCCGGCCGACGCGCCGCCGCTCGGCCACACCGCGCAGCGAGCGGCCCGAGTCACGCCGTCGCTAGCTGACCCGAGGTATGCCGTCGATGGATGGTCCGAGTCATGCCGTCGCCGGCTGACCTGAGTCATGCCGTCGCTGGCTGACCCGAGTCGCTGGCTGGTCTGAGTCGATGACTGGCTCGAGTCATGCCGCCGCCGGCCGACCCAAGTCATGCATCCCCCTCGTGATGAGATGGGGATTTTCTAGTTGACGCTCAGCGAACTGGGCTGCATTATAAAAGTAAGCTTTTACCAACTGAACACACCAAAAACGAGCATTAAATGTCTTTTTCCGGTGCTGATTGCCACATTCCGCGTCAGTTATTTTGTTGGTGATGACGCAACAAACTTCTTTGCAGCGCATATCTAAAAGCATGTATTGTGGCGTTTGCGTCAAGCGCAAAAAGTTGTGCAGGAGGACAGTACAGCTTGTTCTTGCATTGAACTATGGTGTCGTTACACCTAGCTACGAGCGAGCAGTGTTCCTACAATATCACAAGGCTAAAAAGCTGGCAGCAGCTTCCAGCTGCTCTTACGGCTGTGAACGAAAAGTCTGCTACAGATAGCTATGACTCGCACCAGGCATACCATTGTAAATTCACGCTTCTCCGAGATCTGTTGCACTGTCGCTAGCTACATATGATCACCAGCACGCATTCTGGCGGGCACCCAACTGTCCTTCACGGCATGTTTGTGTAGCCTGGGCGATTTTGATGTCGGTGAAATAACCCGTAATGTAACTGGTTGTGTTGGGAAAGGTTTGGAGGACGGTATCATGAGCTGCATCGCTGAACACATCTATAATGAGCTTCGAAACCCGGTCACTCTGGACAACGGCATCACTCATTCAAGATGAAAACGACTCTCTTCCCCAATGCCTGTCTAAGACGAAAAACCCTACGCTCGCTCAGGACAGTGCACATATATTATATACCCGGAGTGGGTCTGGAGTCAGCGGCCCAAATCAGGGGGATGATTGGGTTCGATTACACGTTCAGGGCCAGGGCCCACAGCACGCCATGTGTTCCTGAACGTGCGGATGCCGGAGGTGGCTCCAGGTATAATGGTGGTGTTTAAATGGAAAGCAGGGTTCGCCACGCTCGAGATTCAAAGGTCACCTCGATCGACCGTTTCGTCCGGCTCACACCCCCATTAACCGACACCACCCATTAACCGCCGCGTGATTAATGAGATTTAGGATGTGTTGCGTCACACCTCTGCCGAGCGGTTTATCTTCATCAATCAGCACTGATCTCTTCATACCGCCTCATATGTATTTATAAAACACACCTCAATAGGGACTCCATAGATCACACAGCGTGGTGGCGCGGTCGCCTCACATCGAAGCGGGACCACCAGCCGATCGACCCGCGGACGTTTCGCAACGCGACGGCTACCGCCGGTCGAACGAGGTTGGATTACATTCCGTCGGAGATAGCGTTTCTCAAGCGGGGGGGCACCGGACGCGGGCGTGCTGCCCCGAGGCGCGCCCCGGTGAGCTCCCGAGCCATCCACGAACACTGACCTCTCCAAGCGTGAGCTCCTTGCTCGCCGCCGATAAGCAGGATCGGACTCCAGTTGCAGTGCGCCGCGGCTTAAGCACGACCACAAACCGCAGGCTGACGGGCTGCGCGGCACCGCACGAACAAATAACAACCGTAATCATGACGCCGTCGATAGAGCGCGCACGTGAAATGGCCGCCGACGGCCGACCGAGCGGCAATTGGCCTGCACTCTCTGCGTCCGGCGCCCATTCGCCGTCGCCTTTCATCCCGTGGGTAACGAGCACCTGCAGACAATTGCAGCGCGTGAGCACGTGCAGGTACCGCTCTTATGAACGAGCACGCCCCAGCACGCCGACGGGGGCGGAGCGCGGCCCGGGCGTCGGCTCCCGGGGCTCCCAGGCCGAGCTGTCCGCGAAGGGCGACGGCGGGCCTGCAGCTGTGCAGTGGGCCATCGCCGCGGGCCGCGGCGCGGCACCAGCGCAGCCGACGCCGCCGGCGCCGCTGACGTGGTCGGCTACGTCACCACAGAGCGCTTATCGTGGGAATTGAGTTTTGTTCGAACGGAGTTTACGGGTGCAATCGCAACGTGCGGTATGTTGCCCAACAGCCTGGCGTCGGTAAAACGGTGTCGGGCAGGCGCGACCGTGTAATCGGAACGTGTCACTTGACGTCGCTTCGCGCTACCTGCGGCTCGGCCCCACGGGCTCCGGCACACCCGCCCATTAGGCCTTTATTGTGCCGCGACCCGCATGATGTTGACTGCATGACGAATAGCTCAGCGCCGCCTGTCGCCTCGACGGTCGCCCTCGCATTGACATGCGATCGCTATCCGGCTACTAACGAGGCAGCTAGTTATCGACTCATGATTAGCCCCGCGAAAAGTAGGAGCCCTTTGATACGGCCGTAAACTTGAAGCGCGGACCACCCGTCAGCCATCCTAATGAGCTTTCGATTTGTGTGAATGCATTTATGCACGGCCAACAGCGACTTACTGATGCCTGCCTTCGGATATTTGCTGATAGTATCTGCGGACGTGTCTTACGAGGCGGTGCGGCCAAGGCTGCCCGGCCACGGCGTCGCTCGCTGGCGGCGCGCCACAGTACTACACCTGGTCGGTCCTGCCCCGTTGACCCCGCCGTCCCTGCCCCGCAGGCCTGGCAGGACATCGAGAACGTTCTGATGCACAGCTTCGAGGGCCCGAGCGTCGAGGGCGGGTACCGCTCGCCCGGGCTGGCCGACGACGACTCGCCGCTGCCGACCGAGTCGCCCGGCTACTCGACGCCACACTCTCCCGAGGGCATCGACATGAACTTCATGGCGCCACCGGCGGGGCCTGACGGCGAAGAGTTCAAGAAGGAGCCGTTCGCCGAGCACGGCGCCGCCGAGCGGCCGCCGTACCGCGAGGTTGACTCGCCGGGCGCCGAGCGCGCCTTCCCCGAGGCGCTGCCACTGCAGGCTGACCACCAGCCGCTGCTCGGCGAGCAGAAGTTCAAGGCGGCCGCGCCGTTCGCGACGGACGGCTTCACGAGCTGCGCGCCGTTCGCCGAGGCGGCGCGGCCCGAGCCCGGCCCGTTCGCGGCGACCGACTTCGCCAGCGAGCGGGGCGGCGACTTCGTCGACCTGGACTCGCTCATCAGCCGGGCGACCGAGCAGCATCTCGGCTACCCGAGCAGCGTGCAGGCCGTGGCGCAGGGCGTCGAGACCAAACTCGTGCTGAGTGGCTCGCCGCTGGCCGGCGGCGAGGAGCGGTCGCCGTCACCGCAGCCACTGCCCGGTCTGCAGGGCGACTTCGAGCTGAACGGCGTGAGCATGCAGCTGCCGGCGGCCAGCTTCAGCCCCGTGTACACGGGCCTGGTGGCGATGGTGTCGGTGCCGGGCGGCACGCCGCAAATGTCGCCTCCCGCCAGCCCCGAGACGGACAAGCTGCCGCGCGCCACCGTCGAGCTGACGGCCCTGGGCGGCCGGCCGGGCGCCGCCGCCCCCACCGTGCGCCTCATCACGCCACCCTCATCGCCCAACCTGGCCGAGCTGCTGTCGGCGGGCGCCGGCGCCAAGGCGGCCACGCATCAGCATCCGGCCTTCCTCAACCAGCTGCCACCGCCGGCCGAGGACGGCAAGCGCAAGAGCAAGAGCGCCAGCGGGCGGCGGCGCAACACCGCGCACGCCTGCCAGTACCCCGGCTGCACCAAGGTGTACACCAAGTCGTCGCACCTGAAGGCGCACCAACGGACCCACACGGGCGAGAAACCCTTCCAGTGCACGTGGAAGGACTGTGACTGGAAGTTCGCGCGCAGTGATGAGCTGACGCGGCACTTCCGCAAACACACGGGCGACCGGCCGTTCCAGTGCCGGCTGTGCGACCGCGCCTTCTCGCGGTCAGATCACCTTTCGCTGCACATGAAGAGGCACGTGACGGTGTGACGATCTCACACACACATTCGGACTGCGTCCCAGTGCGGCTGAGATATCATGTGATCCATTGTTTGCTCGTGGCATGCAGCATTTGTCCTCTCGTTCGTGCGAATGTCTATATATGTGAGCTTTGTCAAGTGTACAAAACCCAAAAAATGTTCGCTCGCGACGCCCGGGTGTCGCACGTTGAGTCGCGGCGACCGTGCGACAGCCGCCTCGGTTTACCATTCCCTGTTACCAAATGTGCGCGATTGCCATAATGAGGCGTTCGAGTGAACATCGGGCGATATTATAGCGGCGCGGTAGAAGCGCGACCGACGGCGAGCGCGCCGCGAGGGTCGCGCCCTCGCCGCCGCGGCGTCGCACTCGCTGTACATGCAGGAGCGTAGCGCTGCTGTGCTAACAGTCGAATACACACTATTGGCAGCAGGGCGTGTGTGCGGGCGCGGGCCGTCGCGCCCCGGACCAGCGGCGTCTTCGGCGCCCTGGCGACCGGGCCCGGAGGATGACCAGGTGCGGAAGTGGCTCCGTTCCGCCAAGGCTGTCCGGTTCCGCCGGCTTCCGGGCGGGGCTGCCCGGCGAGCGGGGCGCCTGAGGCGCCGCCCGCCCGCTGCCGACCGGCCAGCCGCGCCGGCGCTACTGGCTCGGCTTTACTGCCAACGACAAGGATCGCCCAGCTTTTTATGCCCCACATATACCGCCAGCCCCAGACGGCTAAAGATAGTGCATTAACGGCGCCCTGTTAAATACGACCAATTAACTAGTCATTGACTGATTTCACAACCGCCGTAACAATAAGCGGGCAGGGGCGGGTGGCGGGCGGGCGGGCTGCCGGCGGCTCTGGCCGGTGCCGCCAGCTGCCGCGCGGCGTCAGGAGATCATGGGCCAGCTAGGTCACCACCAGCCAGCGTCGGCTTGAACCATCTTACCAAGCATCCACCCCCAGCCCTCGCCCGCGGTGTCTGTGCCGCTGTCGCTGCTGCTGCCAACTCTGATGCCAGACCTGATGCATTTCGCATTTTGCTGTGGTTGCACAGGTCCTCATCAGGCGCTGTTTGGCCTGTTCCGCCCTCTACCTTACATGGAGCCTTGGGTACCGATTATCCTGAAAATATGGGTTGCTTGGAGCGCGTTTCTCGTATCGTTCATCAGGCATGGCAAGCAGAAAGCACTTGGCTCCCTCTGGTTTAACGATGAGCAGGCCCCACATGATCATTTCATAACCGGGTTGCGAAATCACACAAGTTGACTTCGAACTATACCGTGATGCTGCTCCTGACAACCGCTCCAAGAACAAAAGCCGCATCCCTGTCGTTCCCCACTGTCAGCAGAGTGCTGCGGCGCGCCGACGGCTCGCGTACACGGCCGTCAGCGCGCGGTACGCGCGGGCTCCGCCGCGGCCGGGCGACCGACGACCAGGCCGTCTGACCTAATGAGGAGCGACACGCGAGCGGCCCGCCCCCCGGGCCCCGAGCTATGGCTGCCGCGTCATCCGCTGACACCGGGCCTCCCCTGGGGCTGGCTCGCGTGCGCCCTAATGGAATTAGACAATCTGAACATGCCGGTATATTACGGCTCCGGCCGTCCGACGGCAGCAGGCCGTCGGTGACCGCGGCGCCGCCGGGAGGCAGCGCGTGGCGGGCTGTGCGGCCGTCGCTGGAGGGCGGGCTCCCAGGCGACAGGCGGCCCCGCGCGGCTCCCAGCCGGCCCATACCGCGACGAGCCCGGTCCAAAGGGCTGTGAGTCATGCATCGTGCGCCCCTTAGAAGGACCATCAAGGTGAAAAACGCCCCCATCAGCCGGGTAAGGTAATAGCGGGCGAAGGGCGTGGAGGGAAGGCATTGCTGTTAATTTCGGTGGCCGGTTAAAAATAACGGCTCGTCTCGGCTTAGTGGCCCTGACATTGCCTTGTAAAAATGCATAGAAAGGCCTAAAATACCTTGATATGAAGCTCTCGGCGGTACCTGCCATGCACAGTGGAAAGCTATTCTTGCACCAATGTATGCGGGAAACGGATGACATGAACCCGGCTAATCCACCAGTTACTTGGGGCATGGACGGAGGTCGACGGACGGTAATGTGACCGTATAGAGAGCGTCCCGCCAGCCATAATTCATATTGTCGGGGAGGAACAAACATCGCAACTCACTTTTCATGGCTGCCCTATTCCCCTCTTCAACATGGACCACCCTCTTTTGATGATTGCCGTTGGAGTTTGGCATTCGGATCTGATGAGACTCTCTTCACTCATCTGCTCCGGACGCTCCAGGCCGGGGCAGCGTCCAAAGCCGCGCCACGCGCGAGACGCGCTCAGCCAAGTCCACGTGCCATACTGGCAGCAGCCGCCGCGCAGGAGTTGCGCCGGTCGCTGATGTTGATCTGACTAATCTTTTTTGGCTTGTACCGTGGTTTTGACATATCACGGCGGCGGTATCGCAGCGCATACTAGCAGGTCAAGCGGGGTTATGAAAGCGGGCCTCGCGGCGCGGTACGGGGTCACCCGCTGCGGCTGGAGCGTGGCAGTGGGAAGGCCGCGTCCGGTCGCGGCGCCGCACGACGGTACGCCACACAGTGGCCGCCCCAGCCCCGCCGACGTCCCCGTCGGTCGTTCCTCCTGTCGATCAACACCGACGGCCGTCGCAACCTGACAAGGACTAATTTGTTTTTGACTGTGGAGAAGCTCGTCTCACTGGGAGGCACGATACAAGAGCAGTGACTGAATGAACGTACCCATGTCTGGATGCATTTGTGCTGAGAGGTAAATGCGTGATGCGACAGGAAAACATCATGATTCACGGTATTCACCCCACAAGAGTTTCCTAATGTACTGGAGAGGCCAGAATACACCGGCCCGGCACATTCCGTCGACAGCATTCATCGACTGAAATAACGGCTGAACCAAGGAACCGAGTAGTTGAGCCATCGCACCTGCATTACAATGTCCTTCCAACGCGGATTTCATAAGCTTGGACAATAATTCTGGGGACATGCAATTAATGTTCACAAATCTGGGTTACTAACAATGCCATCATTTAGCAAATATCCTCCAGGCATTCGCGTCCGATAACAATGGTCACCAGACCCCCAAATGTCTTGTGTTCCATCTTGTGTTACAAAACTGAACCACATCTGTCAGTCCCTGAATACTCGCGAGAGATAACGACGAACATCAATCACTATTACCATCACCAAATTACCAATGCGTCTTGTAGACTAAATAGAAATGTCCACAACTTTTGGCTGCACACATCCATTTGAAGAGTTATCCGCCGTTGCCGTGGCTGGTAGCGTAACAGATGTGTGGTATGCGGATCACGCCCCCCATCAGTGCTTACATACGCAGCCCGCGTTCACCACAAACACTCCGGTAGGCGAGTCGCGTGTTCAGTTTAGTTATACTTGATTGGTTGTGACTCATTTCCGGAGGATATCGGCTCGTTACACACAAGCATAAAAAGCAGGCGGATTGAAAGTCAATCAATGATATGCGTCAATTATTTTTTCCAGCCGCTTATCACTGCCATCACCGCTTATCACTAGCTATCGCTGTCACTGTCGGACATTTGGTGGCAAACCCCAGTGGTTCTCTGATATAACTCTTCATAAAACGCAAATAATCTGATATTTTCCTCTTGTCTTCATTAGCCTCATATTTTCTGCATTTATCAAATGCCACTTTGTCTACATTGCTTTAAAACTTATTTGCACAAGTTGTGCTCTGTCAGGCACAATGTATTTTTGGTGATAGGTTACACGATTTAAGTCCCAACATGTCATTCGTGCGATTTAACGAAGGCGGTTTTATTTATTGGCGTTGTTACACCTCTTGAACATATAATTCGGTTGTTATCTTCCTCGCGCACTACGTGACCTTCTTTGACCTGCAGCCTCATCCACATATTTCATCTAATTGGTGACAGGAATAAGAAGATGCGTGAGGGAACCCGTATTTGACCCGTAACTCGTTAACTGGCAATATTTCGATCACGAAAGATGCACAAAGCCAGAGTTTGATCTTCGGACTCTATTCTGGGGCTGCGTTGACTTAAGATCAGTTATCCCAGTGAGGACTGGCTGTGTGGCTCTGTGATTCAACGTGCATGTAAATACATTGCTGGAACATCCGAGCTATGAAGCTTCTGCTACCTTACAAGTAGCATATAATTGTACAGTGTCCGCATTATTTTTACTCGCTTCGAACCGCGGCGTTGCTGGTGATCGTGCAGTCGGAGAGCATGGATCGCTTTCTGTGGCGTTAGATCTAAAACTATCGCCTGTTCCTACAACCAACATACCAGTCCATTAGTTTTAGAGAGATGTACGGGAAAAAGTCCTTCCCCGTTCCACGGACTCGAAAGTGGCTATATACCTCCGTCAGTGCTAGGTCAGATTTACAAGCAAAACCTTAACAGAGCCGGTGATGTAAATGAATTTCGGGATTTTTTCTTCCCACACACCGCTGTCAAAGTTAACCTTTTGAAAAAGCACCACACATGGTCAAAACGAGAACAAACTCAGATCTTAAATTTGCTCACACTCTTCACGATCTCGTACAACATCGAACGAAATAGCTGCACAATCGCCTCTCATTCAGAAAGAACGTTATTTTCCACGGGCTCTGGGAAAATGTGCATTTCCCTCTCTTACAGCTGCCATAAAATGGCCTTCATGACCGAGACCACCATGACCTGGACTCTACAGCTGTCCTTACTTTCACCGTCCAGATGGAATCTGCCAGGCACCTGGTCCCACCCGCGTGCGCGGCCAACAGGCGAAATTCTCGATCATGGTTCCGCGCTGAGGCGGACCTCGCCCTCGTGCTCTGACTCGCTGCAGTGAGCGGCGAGCGCGGCCCAGCCCGTTCGCGGGGACACGGTGACCTGGCAAGGAGACCCTGTGTCGCCGGAGCGTTCTCCTCTTTGTCGGCTGCAGATGCCGCTTGAGCGTATCGCTTCGAAACGACCTGCGGCGCGTTTACATGGATAACGAGATCAGTGAGATTCTTCGATTTGCAGCGAAACGGCGACGACTCTGAGAACAGCACGTCCGTACAGTCGCGTGACGCCTTGACCGAGCCGTCTACGGCTTCCAATGAGAATCCCACGCCCCGATTACTCAAAGAGACGCATGGCGTGTCACAACTCAGGCCCACTCAGGCGGAAAAGTGCTCCTGAACTCCTGATCGAGCCCCTACTGAGGTGATCGGCCAGGCTCTCCCTCTCGCGCTTCGGCACTTTGAAAATGAAAGGCCCCGCTTTGATTTCGCTGCGGCCTAGCGACGCAGCGGACAATGTAAACGAGGCCGAACAGGCACTCGGGCCCCATTCGTCGATGTCATACGTGGACTTCCGGAGATTACGACGAGATAAGTACTTATTTTAGTGGCGGTTGGAGTACACTGTTTGACACAGATGACAACTTGTAAGTAG